ATGATGATGCTGATGATGATGATGATGATGATGATGATGATGATGGTGGTGATGATGGTGATGGTGGTGAAATGGAACTATCTTTGTCTAAAATAATATTTGATTCATGTTTTTCTGTCAATAATGATTTTGAAAGTTTAGCGTTAAGTGACACCAGTGGATTGTACGTTTTATCAATGTCTATGGTTTTTTAGAATGAATAAATGAATGAATGAAAATTAATTATATAATTAAAATTTTTTGTTATAACATAATAATGATAAAGCATATTGGCAATTAGTTATGTAACACCAATAAATTAAGTCACTCGGTTCAATTTTGTTATTGGAACGTAAATGCCAAATGAACAATTGAACTATTACTTACGAGGATTTTCTACAATGGTTAAGAATGCAAATTGTGCTGCATGAGCTGCTAAGCTTACAAACAGCACAGTGTAACTTGCCGTAATCATAGAAATACCATAATAACCAATATAACCAACAGAATACATGGGATGTGGTGCCATTTCAAATACACCATCAAAGGTGAGTGATTGATCAATAAGGAAAAAGAAATCACCCCAATCTACATAAAATAAGTGTTCATATGTACAAGTATAATGTATGAAAGATATTCTATGATTATTATTATTTTTTTAATTAAAATAATGATAAAAAGAGATAGAAAACTTACACCAAGCAAAATCTTTGACTACACGGTGAGCATCAGCTTTTACCCAAATGTTAAACCATAATAAGAAAAAACCACCTATCCAGCGTAACAAGTTAATAAAAATCCCTGAATTTTCTGGAATGCCAAAGTTTGAAAGAGCAAAGAAAATGTATGAAGTAAAATCATTAAGAAGAATTAAATCAACTAATTGTCGAAATAGAAGCCAAGTATTAAACTCCAAAGGAACTCTCTATATATAAATATAAATATATTTAAAATATATAATAAAGATAATAAAAAAATAAATAATCACCAAATAATAATAATTAATATATGGATAATAAAATGGCAAACTTATATTATTGTTTTTTTTAAAAAAAACAATAATAATCCATCATTAATTACTTACATCAAAATCATAATCATCACCCATTTTTGTACTTAATTCTTTCTTGAGGAGGGAATACCATTTCGAGTTTTCTTTGTTAAAAATCTTATTACGTTTTGCCCAAATAACCAATCCACGCTTATCACTCTGATATTTTAATAGATAACCCAATCCCACATTATATGCACTTCTCCAAAAAGCAAAAAGAAAAAAGAAAGTCCATTTTTTGCTTGATGATGGAAGTACAAAAAATAGCAACATTTGAAAACCAATTACTGAAAAGGTGATGTAATCAAATAAAGATTTTTTACATTTTGGATCAAAGACCGATGTTAACATTTCTACAGTATGTGGTACTTGAAATACTATCATCATCATCATATTTATTTATATAAAAATTTGAGTTAAAAACAGAATTTATAGATGACAAAAATGCTAATTGATAGTTTTCATAAATATATTCAATTGAATTCATGATAAATACCACGATTGTATGGTGTTTTTCCATAGACAATTTCTTCACTTTTTTTCATTTTATCATCATTAGATTCATCAGATATTCTATTATTATCATTATTATCACCATTATTGTTGCAAATGCTGCTACTTTCAGAACCAAATCTAGATCTTAATTGTGAATCGTTACTCATAGTTACTTAATTTGATAAATAGTTTTTAAAGGTATATCGTCTGTTGAAGACGAGTATATATATATACGTCAACCGTTAATAAAATATAAAAAAAAATGATATTATTTATTTTCCAACTGTTGAAGTTGGTAATAATAATAATAATATTTATTAAGGTGTATTATATGCAAGAAAAAAATTTTTTTTCCAGATCAAAAATTCTCGTGAGCGCACCTGAGATCACACATGTCGATTTGTTTATTTATTACAAATTAATGGTTTTGTGTCATCGTTAAATGCAGAAACGAATGAAAATCACAATATTGGGACACCAAAAAATTTTTTAGGCATTAATGCAAATATATATATATATATATACATATATATACTAGTACAAAAAAAAAAATTTATTTAATAAGGTGGTGGTCCACGATATACACCTGATCTTCTATTATGCTGTCCACTAAAACTACCATATGATTGGCTAGGCGAATAATTAGATTTTGGAGGTGATGAAAATTCAGAATATGAAGAAGGTGGTGGTGGTGGTGGTGGGCGTCTAAAACCTTTGTTTGGATTGTAATAATAATACATTGGTGTTTTATATGATGGTGGTGATCTTGGAGAATAATATCCTTCGGCATGAAATTGTGGTGTTGATGGATTATTATTTGCGGTTAGAAAAGGACCACCGTTATAGTAATTGTTATTATACCTACGGTTTACATTTGGTGGAGCCAATGGAAATTGGTTATCGGGATTATTATACCAATTCTTATCATCTTGGGTTTTCCATCTTCCTTGATATATTTTTTTTATTCTGAAATTATCTGTATGTATATTATTTTGCTGTCGTGGTGGGTGGGCTTTTGAATTGGCCTTATTCAACCTGTCAGCCTTATGATCAAAAAACTTTTTATCTTCTACCCATTGAGCTCTTTTCTCCTCCTCCAAATCTTTCACCTCCTGCAATGCAATTCTATAGGCTGATGAAAGAGCATATAGTAATTGTTTATCATCCATATCATCAATTAAAATGATTCCTTTCTTTTCTTTATTAAAATAAATATCTCCTGTTTTATCTATTTTATTCAATAGCCAACAAACATCATTGTAATTTTCTGTAGTTCTTGCTTGTTCCAATACTAATCTCAATATTTTTGTTAAACCAGTTGGTTTTAAAGCTATTTGTTTCTCAACAGCATTTTCAAGAATTTCTTTTGCTGTGCTTAGATCTCGAAGATTTTGACATGCAAACATCAAAGATTCAAATGTAGAAGCATTTAGAGCAAGTTTAAATTTTTTAAATTGATTATGGTATGTTTCAATGGTTTTGTTAAATTGATAATTTAAGTTGTAAAGTGAAATTAAACCATCATAATTATTAATGTCAAGTGAAAAATCTGGATATTTTGCTGTAATTTTGTTATAATATTCTATTCCTAAATCGAATTGTCTTGTTTTAAAACATAAACCAAAAATACTGTCCACTGTATCGTTTGTAATTGATAGTCTCAAAGAATGAGAATCATCTTTTGTTGATTCTCCTTCTGCTGCTATGGCAGATTTACCAATCCCATAAAAGTCATCAACAATAACGAAAGCTTCTGGTATGTGATTAGTAAATTTAAAAGCAGCAATCACGCCATTAATCAATCCATCATCAACTACCACTGCATTGGGATTATCCTTGTTCTGATCATCTTTAACCAATTTGTTCCAAACATCTGTTGCCAATTCGTAAGCCTTTTCTGATTGTCTCACACCATTTGCTGAACACATTTTCAGGATTTGCAAGTAAGTTTTTCTGTTTGGTTTCAACTTACCACTCCTAATCAAATCATCATAAGTTTTCAGTGCAACATCAAAATTTTTTGCACGTTGACAAATTGTTAACAGACAATTGACATGTCCAATCTCTAGTTTGATCTCAGGTCTTGTTTGACTTGATTGAATGATTTGATTGATGGTTGACATTGCTTGTGAAACTGTTGGTTGTGAGACGTAAAATAATGATAGACCTTTTAAAATTGCTGTATATGTTTCTTGAGTTGGAAGCATTGAAAGTTTTTTCATCTATTTGTCAAAATAAAATTTTTTAAATTAAATTGATATTAACATTAATTAACTAATTATTATTGTCGTTATAAAGAAATAGATTTTACTTCATTAAATAATCTAATCGACATTTTAGTTTTCCCTTTATCAACACATTCAATTATCAATTGATTCCAAGCTTCGGCATTTTCTAATCCTGGATTTTCTTTACTTGACACCAATTTTATAGCATCGTCCAATTTTTCTTCTTTGCTTAATTTAATTACCTTTTCTTTTATACTTTCTAATGTTTCTTTTGTAGTAGCAGCAGCAGGAGATGAAGATGAAGATGGAACGTTTGGATCATTATTATTAATATCACCGACAGCACTAGTACTTGTTTCTAATTTTATTGAATTATCGGTAGTTTCATTTCTTATAATGCAATTGTTGGAGAATTGGCGCAAATTGACAGCTTGATTTTTATTAAATTTATTATATCCGGTCAAGTTGGTATGAAAATGATACAGGTTTTTTCTTGGTGGTATTAATGATGGTTTTGGTAATAACCAACGTGTTGATGCTACTACGTTTGGTTTCAAGAATGTTGTAGTTGTTGATTTATTACAGTTTAGTAATAAAACATTATTTATAACTTTTACATATAACATTATTTACAAGCTTGTGGAAAAAAATTTTTTCTCACGAGAAGATTATCAAATGATCAACCGTTTGGTTTCTGCAGTTATCGGGAGATCTTTGTGTGCAACATCCATTAAAGTGAACATTACGTCCCAGGAAAATTGCGGCGGGGATCAAAATTTTCAACAATAGTAATAGTAATAGTAATAGTAATAGTAATAGTATTAATTACATTAATGTTTTTTATTATCAAATCTTTCAAGTCAATGTCATTATCGCAATGATTTGTTACTACTAACAAAAGGGTTATTATTATTGTGATAATGGTAATAATGAATGGTTTTCAAAATTAGCAATGAGAAGATGATGATGTATTGAAACAAATAATGATGGATGAAAGCATTTCAATCAAGGATGTTGGCCGAAATGGTTTTTGAAAAATCAATTTCGACAAGCAATTTCGGATTTACCATCTTCTTTTATATCAATATTGTTTCTAATTCCACGAGTACAACCAGGACAATGATTTGCAAGTTAAACTTTTTTTGTACATACTTGCGTTGTGCAGGGTAATGTTCTTTAGATTTTCTTTTTTGTTTTTAGCAAAATGGATCTACACTTTTGAGGAAGGTCTACCAAATAATTTACTTTGTGGATCTGAGATTATTTAAAACTAATTCTTCTCGTTTTAAACAATATTATCTCATGAACTTACTACTAGATGTAAAAAGGAGGTGGTAGTTGCTAGCACAGTGATTGATTGTAATTTGAATGGTTTATGATAATTTGTATTTATTATTATTATATTATTATTACAGTTGCTTTTAAAACAATTTTCTCAAAATATTTATTCAATGCAATTAAGGGATATCTTTATATATATATTTTATTAAAAAAAATTTACTTTTGCCAAATCGTCAAATGGTCCTTGGTGAGAAACTGCCTTTAGTCAGTACTTTTGTCACGTTAATGACTAAAGTCAAAAGTTTTGTTATACATCATTAATCGAATCACCTAATTTTTGATTCGCTTCATTCGAATCAAATGCGAATAGGAGTGCTTTGGTTCGATTTGAATCCGATTCGACTCTATAAATGATTTGAAGTTCGAATCTAATTCAAATCAATACCATACGAAATAATTTGAATTTTGAAAGAGTTGCCTTTGGAAATAAATGGTTTTGAAAGTCAAAAGTATTTACTTTGTGCAGTAATTGCATTTGACTTTTCCATCTACAACTGTAAAATAGTTCCAAACTTATTTCTTGTCTTCTTTGAACACTTTGCACTGTGCCTGCTGAAGAAGTTATTGAAGTGGCTTCATGCAATTACTGCTATTTAAATTTAATTCGTGTTCCACGAATAAAGGAAAGAACTTACATAATTAGTGCCGATCGGGGCAAAAAATTTTAATTTTCATATTAAAATTAATATGGTTGATTTTTTGGCCCCCACAAAAAGTCACGCATTTATTATGTTACATATATTATCTTTTATATCCAACTATGTTAAACAAACGTGAAATATTATATCAATTCCCTGTTATTTAACCAGCGGTCCTGGATTATGGGTATAAAATTCATATTTTTTACATATATAAATTATTGGAAAACATAAGAATGTGCCAAAAAATAAATATAAAACATTTTAACATCAACTAAAAAATAACTTTAAAACTCAAAATGTTGAATTTCTCCATAAAATAATTTCGGGATGCAATTATAGTAAGCAAGAATGAATTTTTAGAATGTCATTGATTTTTATTTTGGTTTCTTCTAAAATTTTCTGTGCCATTGATTTTTTATGAGAAGCAGCAAAACGACTTATCCATCCTTCAATTGTTTTGATTGTTGGCAACTCTTTGGATGTAAGTTCACCAAGTTTTACATGCTCTTTCAATTCTTCTGACATATCTTTTGCAGAAAATTGTTGACTTCTATCCATATTACCAAAAAGAAAATATATTTGCAGGTATTCCTTGACTTTATCACCACCCCCTTTATTTCCATAAACTTGATTTTCCTTCAAGCCCATCCTATCACAAAATAATCAACTCGATTGGCAAAGTAACATAGTTAGTGTCAGTAAACTTGTTTTTTAAGGTGAGTTCCAAGGAAAAAATAATTTTATTTTTTAAATGATTCTTACTGGATTATTATCAATTTTTCCCACATTTCACTAAGGTTTGATTCTGATTTATGTTTTTCTACATCCCTCTCATTCATATCATTTATAGCATCAGTCTCTTGTGGAATTGGATTTGTTTCCTCTACAAAAAAAGTATAACAATCTACAAATACAAATACATGTTCAGATATGTAAATTCATACCTGTAATTTTCAT